ATTAGCAAAAAAGGAAATATATATATATATATATATATATATATATATATATATATATATATATATATATATATATATATATATATATACACTATTCAATTCAGAATGTGTATTCTGCTTTATATTATAAAGTATAATGTTTTTATCAATACAGGCAAGCCAAAAACTGATTTTGGTAAGCTAGAGAATTAAAATAGCTAAATAAGTGAATGACATTTTTGTACGTCTCTTTCACACAATGGGGAATATATTATTACAATTTTGGATATAAAAAGGGGAAATGTCAACTCACGATAGGTGATTAGGGTTCGGTTTAGTGATCTAGCAGGTGAATAAAAACCAACTCCAGAGACCATGGTGGAGTTAGGAAATTTGGCCAGTGTAGTTGAAAATTAAAAGTCAGAAAATTTGGCTGGTGAGTACGTATAATTTTGAGGTTAACAAGAACCTATTTGCAAATACCACCACCGCACAACATCTCTATCATTAACATGATAAATCATTGATAAGTTTCTTTTTAGCGGGATCTACGTTAAGTTCTTCTAAATTAATATGAATACAAAGACACACTTGAAACTCCTGGACTATCTTGGTTAGATGATTTCTCAAAAGTAAATTATCCTTTGAAGTATTTTTCTAAAACTAAACCACAAAACATATCTAACAATTTAGCATTATGAGCAATTAGCATTTTAGTATTATGAGCAATTAATGTTTTAGGAAACATCAAACATAGACTATTTATGAGCAATTATCTAAATTAATTCAGCAATTGACATATAACATAATCTCATATTTTTTCCTATAATTAATAACAATAAATTAATAATAATAACAACAACAATAATAATAATGACAACCTATAATTTAAAAAGGGCTTATTGGTGAAAAAAAACCACCGATAATTATATCCAAATCTTTAAGTTTTGCCAATTTAATACCAAACATTTATATTTTATCACAATTATATCTCCACTTGCTTGGATTTTATGATAGTTGCAAGAGTCTCCGGACCGTACAATGGAATGGTATCCTGGAGATGGTTACCCTCAACTTTAAAGTGGTTGTGCATCTAGCATCTCTAATGGACAGAAATAAAGAAAAAGAACATTTGAGTGGTAAAATAGATACAAGGTCCATTAATTCATCTATAAAATTTATGCTCCCGCAATTAATGACAAGCACACTAAACACGGGAGTGAGTGAAAGTTGTTGAGAGTGAAAGCCCAAAGAAACAACAAGGCCTAAATTGCTTTAAAACTCAAAGCATAAACCGGAGCAATGCTTTTTTTAAAATAGAGCGATTGAACGTCATGAAATCAATTTTCAACCACTTGACACACACACGTGCGCGCGTATATATATGATTTATGTAGATGGTTGACAATGCAACTCCTATGATTATATGTGATATATTTTATCTTACAGTTGCATAATTTCATCAATATACAATAGTCTAGAGCAAACTAAGTACTGACAAAGATGAGTTAAATAATAAAGTCAATAGCATTTACCAATCATCAATATTCGTCATCATCCAAACTTTCAGTTTTTTCATAAACAGCAAGGGAGTAAAAAAGAAAAGAAAATTAGTATTGTGAAAGAGAAGAAGAATAAAAAACAGTACACACTTGAGGCTAGCTGAGAGTTAATGGTGACTATAAGGGAGAAGATCGGAGAAGATGTCACTAAACTCTGAAGAAAAGATTTAAATGAACTGCCCTTTTACCCCTAAGTTTTGGAGGTTAGATCGTTGACTCACTTTATACAACTAAGTGCGCTTTTTCAGTAATTAAGTCATCATTTTCCTCTTGCTTTGTTGTCAAAGTGGGCACTTTTGTTTGCTTTCTCACTTTCCAACACTTCACCGAAGTGAAACATTTTGCCATTGGTTGCATCACTAGGCGACAAAGTGATCACTTTTGACAAGTTAGAGCAAGATCCCAAAAACAAGGTAGAAGCATAGTAATTAACAGGTTCAGATGACCCAAGGAGTGCATAATACGGAGTACTTTTTTATTGATGAAGCTTCAAAACCTTTTCTTATACGCTTTCTGAGTCTAACTACTATGGAAGCCCTGTACTCACAAAAGAACCCCAATATATGGAACTCAACCCAGTTTGGTAAGTTACTAGTTGGCATTATGAATTCTAGGCACCTCCAGAAATGCATTAATGATGGAAATTCGGGGTTCATTTTGCATCCGTCTTAGCTCTATCACATCCTGGGGAACAAGGATGGTCTAAAGTTGAGGGGCATGACATATATGCTGTTTTAGTCAATGTACACAAAGTCTACAACCAATACTTATGGTGCAAAGTTGGAGAATTAAAAGAATAAACAGAGCAGCAAGATTTTAATGGTTTATGGCTCAATTGAACAATAGGTGATCTTCAAAGCCAAATCAAAGGATTTCAACTCACCAATCCATGACTTGGGACCAGCATGTTCACAATTTTTTTTTTTGTTTTGCTTCTATTTTAGTTACAAGTCTCCTGTTTTCAGCTTGGTTGTTAAGCCAACCAGCAGATAGTTGGGAGCCAACTCCATACCACCCTCCCATAACCAAAATTCCATCTTCTCCCTATAGTTTCACCAACACAAGTACACAACTTCCCTCAATTTTCCCCCATTTCCAGTTCAGTTACACACGTTAACTCCAACAATTGTCTAAAGCCCATTATTTTAATCCTCAGTAAGAATAAAAATAAATCATAGTTCAAAGTTCAAACCACTATAGTCCAAAATCACAAGCACGCAATATGCACAAGAACTGAACGAGCAAAGCAACACTAATGCACTATCAAATCTTCCACAGATACAACACAGTACTCAAAAGAAATACAAAAATCACAGTCAAAACAAATAATTGAAATAAAAACCTGAGATTTATAGTAAGAGATGCGCTGCCGGAGATCATGAACCTCCTTAGTCCGATGTTCAACGAGAGCAACTAGGGCTTCTTCTTGCTCGCTCCTAGACTGATCATTTGTATCATCTGCCGGAACATCCTTGCCGTCATTCTTGGCTTCTCCGCCGATGCTTCCGCCGCCGTTCTCCTCATCTGGCTCCACTTTGGGCTTTTTCAGAAACGGATGCGCGCTCATGTTTTCAATCAACTCTTCTTCGCTTCTTCGTTTCTCCGTTTCTTCGTTTCTTCGTATCTTCGTATCTCCGTTTGTCCAGTCTCCCTCCACTGATTCTCTCTATATTTCTCGGCTTCTCGGCTTCTTGTCAAAAAAATTTCGGAAAAAAAGGGGTTTCTTTATATAACTTCCTCTAAAGAGTTCCTTTTTTAAACTCTTTACGTGATTACGTATATACTCCCGATAGGCGATAGGCAAAGATTTGGACAATTGGTGCACACGTGCCGCGTGGGATTATTAAAATAAAATATCTTAAATTCTCACAATATTTTCTTATTTTTAAAAGTGAACGTCAATTTTTTTTTTAAAAACAAAAACTAAATAAGTTACGATTTTTACATACAAAGTAAAAAGACCTTCAAACTCTTTAAAATAGTAATTAAACCCATCAACATTTTATTTTAATACAGATAAAATTCAAAAATTAATTATCGTAGGTCACTATTCTAACAACCATCTGGCAAAACTCCGGTGCTATTTCTAATAATTTAAAAAATAAAATAAAATAAAAAATAAAATTAACTGATAACCGGTCGCCATTGAGGTGCGGGTTAAGTGCACCATGTAGTACGACATCAACAGTATCATATCACAAAATGACATGTCATGCCAAGGCCTATAACTTCTCAGAAGGAAAAAGTGAAGATAAATAAAATGAGAAAGAATTATTGTTGGTTTTTACCAGCAATCGTTATGCTGTGCATCCGTATGCACCATGCATGGTGCATACAGATGCCAAAACGACGTCGTTTTATTAAAAAACGCGTGTCTTCCCTTTAAAAAAATTCAGGTTCGATTCCCAGCAACAACATTATATTGTTCCTTCATTCTGGAATTTTAGTTCATAGATTATGGAAATATAGTTCATTGATTATGAAATTATAGTTCATCGATTATGAAATTGTAGTTCATCGATTCTGAAATTTTAGTTTATAGATTATGGAATTTTAGTTCATTCATTCTGAAATTTTTAGTTCATAGATTAGATTATGGAATTATAGTTCATCGATTATGGAATTTTAGTTCATATGTTGTTGCTGAGAATCGAACTTGAATTTTTTTTTTTTAAAGGGGAGACACGCGTTTATTAAAACGACGTCATTTTTGCATCCTTATGCACCATGCATGGTGCATAAGGATGCACAGCATAATTTGCCAGCGCTGAAAAAAAGGCAGTCATGATTCCTAAGAAAATTTAAGTTTTTTGAAGTCAATTATGTCCATTCACGAGATTTTTGAATTTTAAATCCTTTGGGTTAAATACTTAGTTCTGCTTAATTTTGACTTATTTTGTAGGGAATTGACATATTACATACTCATTTGAAAGAGATTGCTTGATGAAGATAACTATTAAATGCTCACTTTTCTCATCATGCTTTTTGAGAATTAACATAATCTAAACGTTAATATTGGAGTTGCTCCTCACGTGGTCCACCCTCCCCTCTTGCATCAATTCAATTGTTTATTTTATTTAATATATAAAATTGTGAACATTTAGTGTGTAAATTGTGAACATTAAGTATATAAAATTGTGAATATTTAGTATATAAATAGTGTATCTTTAGATTTGGGTCCACAAAATAATTTGCCATTGCCCCTCACCTTCGATTTTTTTTTTTTTTAAAAAAAAAAAAACTGCTGAGGAAAAAGTATATTTAGAACAAAAATGTAATGTGTACGAGTATTCTTTAAAAATATATATATAATATTAAATTGGCCAACCCACAGCTCGTCTTAAAAAAAAGTTATTATCATATATTGTCACATCAAATGGTGAAAATCTTTTGTACATATAGCATAATCCTAAAATGTAATGTGTACAAGTTTTTTTTTTTTTAAATGCAATATGAAATAACAAAAATGCTCACTACTAAAAATAGAAAGAACAGATGTCATGTTTATTGAAAAAATCTTAAATTATTTTTTATCAGAACACATCATATGCATTGACTATATTAGAGACAAAATTTGAAGAGGTATTACTCTTTACAGCAAGGAGGATGATGGGATATTGGGATAATGACAGATTTTGCCTAAAGCAAAGGTAACGTTCCAAACAAAATCCTAGAAAGCAAAGTGCATCCCACCTCCAAAGAAAGGAAAATATCCTGGTTTGGAAGACAATAAAGGGGAAGATCAATCCAAACAAGTAACCTAATTACATAGAATTCAAGTCCTAATCATATCCTCCTAAGCCATACAAGGTTATTCTCCTATTTTAGTCAATTTGCAATCCCAAAACGTTATCCTCTGTACCAAAACAGTACAATCCCTTCGGGTTTATAGACACTGTCAGGTCACTAGGCAACAGAACTAAATGTCATGGCATCGGGGTCAATTGAGATGAACAAAAACGGTTTATCTTCAACTAGCAGCATAGTGGTTGGAGAGGAATTACGTAATGAGGTGGTAGATGATAAGAATAAAACATGTCGACACCCTCGGTGGACCAGACCAGAAACATTGGTGCTCATAGAAGGGAAGAAGATTGCAGAAGATAGAAGAAGGGGGTGTGGGGCTAGTTCAGTTCTTGATTGTGCACAAATTAAACCAAAGTGGGACTTGGTCTCATCCTATTGCAAGCAAAATGGTGTCAACAGAGGACCAGTTCAATGCAGAAAACGATGGAGCAATCTTATTAGTGATTTCAAGAAAATAAGAACATGGGAGTTGCAAGTGAAAGAAGAGAGGGATTCATACTGGATGATGATGAATGATTTAAGGAAGGTGGGGAAGTTGCCGGGTTTTTTCGATAGGGAAATATATGATGTTTTGGAAGGGAAGGCATTTATTGCAGCAGAACATCAACTTGCAGTGGTGACCTTAGGCACAGATGCAAATACTGGTAATCATATGGAAACTGGAGAGGGAGGGGATGAGGTGCAGGATAATGGGAAGGCTCAACAAGTTCTTGGAAGTGGACATCATAAAACAGCAGATAGTGTTAATCTTTCAGATTTTGAACCAACACCACAGTGGAATGGGGATGATTCTACTGAAGAAGGGATCACACCAGATAAACCAACAATCACCATCCCTTCACCAGTGTCAATCTCAGGTGTTTAAACATCATTTACAACATGCTAGCTTAGTTGCTTACTTGCTTTCACAATTCAATGAAACACACAATCAACTTGGAGATGTTTGAATGATAGAAATTTGAGAAACTAGGGAAAAATAAAAGGTTATGACATGCACTCCCTTTCGAGTTTCTATTCAGTATAGACGTATAGTTCAGATGTTTTCCCTTTGCCTAGTTTCAGATTCAAGACATAAATATAGTGACATGATATATAGCCTACTTACATGCTTCAAAGTTATTCCAAAAATTGGACACTGACCATTTCCAGTTTCCAAAGACTTGTAATTCTTTCTTTCTTTCTTTCTAAAATTATTTTATTTTACTTTATTTTTGGTAAGCAGAGAAGAATTGTCAGCCACTTCGCCAGGCATGCCCATATCCAGGTAAGATGAAAAACAAGAGAAATATTATTGTTTATGCTTCTAATGGATGTCAGATTAGAAATTAGAATGCAACATAAAATGATCAACTGTATTTGACAGTTACAGTTTATTTGGATACTATCACTTATTCATGATCATGAATGAGTAATTTAGCTATGCTCAATAGAATGCTGAAAAACCATGTGCATCCAGGCATGTATAAATGCACACATCCAGAGATTGACTTCATTTGCAATTATTGCTGAAATAAAGTTTAAATAGAAGGCATAATTCACAATAAGTTTGTATGACATATTGACATGAAGTTCTGGTTTTAGTTAGATATTTGATTTGTTTTACACACACACACACACACAGAAAAAGAGTTATCTCCACTTACCTCTAACAGAGATTCACCAACTCAAGTCTGTAAATATATTTTGTTTCATTTTGTTTAGCATATGGCAAGTTGTTTGCCATAGAATGATAGAAATAAAATTGCACCTATGATCATTGTCAATTAAATTCACATTTAAACTGTTAAAGATTGTTATTAAGATAAGAAATAATGAGGTACTAATTTGTAATACCCTCAGGAACAGCAAAAGGAGAACAGTCAGGTTCACATTTCTGGAAAGGACCCCCACTTCAAAAGGGAGTGAAGCGAAGACGATTGTTTTCTGATTGTTGTGAGAATAGTAATCTGGAGGACTGTTTGGCTAAAGTGATGGAGAGAAACAGTAATATGCTAAATGCAGAACTTGAAGCTCGGAACATGAATGTGCAATTGGACAGAGAGCAGTGTAAAGAACAGAGCGAAAGCTTAGTTGCTGCTCTTAACAAGATTGGTGATGCACTAGTGAGAATTGCTGATAAACTTTAAATACAAAAAGCAGCAATCAAAGCCTTAGCCATCCACAACAGTTTTTTGCTTACCCAAAACCAAGAACTTTTAAGAAGCTTTCTTAAGGTTTTTAGAATTTAGTCATACTTTCTGTTTCAACCGTGATTAGGAAGAATTTTTGCAGCTTAGTTCTGTTTTCTTGTCCAAATTTTCTACCTCTAAGAGCATGCAATGTTGAAAAAATCGCTAGGCGCCTGGGGACCGCCTAGGCGGGCGCCTAGGAGGCCGCCTAGCGCCTAGGCACGATTTTTGCAACACTAAGAGCAATGTTATTTACATTAATATTTCATTCTGAGCATCTACTTTTCCTTTTAATAAATAACAGCCATACTTCTTTGTATGAGTTGATTGCATTCATTGTTTGTGATAAAATTAGCTATTAGTTATTAATGTTTAATGTTTAAACGTGTACAATGGCATATAAGAATGTCAATATATATTTTATTATTGTTGTTATATCAAGTCTTTTTTTTTTTTTCAATAATAACTTGATTTTTTTACTTGTTTAAAAAAAATAGATTTAAAAAGTAAATTTTTAATTAACAATTCTTTCAAAAACACGAATTAGAATAAGTCAATTACAAGAAATACCTTTATATTAAAACATACATAGCACTGTAAGGTCAACAAATAAATATTAACATAGAATCTGAGTCTATCAGAGTATAACATGAGAACCCCCATACAATATAATACATGCATTGTGTGTGTGTGTGTAAGACTGTAAGGGATAGGTTGTGAAAAAAGCTAATTTCCAAAAAGACTCTTTTGAAAAATCTCATCCAGTATACCAGTTAGCTCTTTTAAAATAACTAAGTTAAAATGTTATTTACCAAACAGACATATTAGTATTTTTTTTAATCTGGTCAAACAGCTAAAAGTCCATAAAAGTGGAAAGCCATTCAAAATGTGCTTTCCAATCAAACTCCACTATTTGTAGAAAAAACAAATGGAGGATGAAATGCAGACTCAGCTCTAGAAACATAGGATATAGAAATTTTGATTATTTGGTCTCCATTAGCTTGATATTTGGGATGTTAAAATATATTGTTCAGACCTAGCATACATGTTTAATAAAAATCACTGTTGACTATATTATACAAAATATGATTATCTAACCTGCAGTCCTAAAGTTGGATACATAGTCTGGAGCTTACAAAAGAATGTTAGAGGGTGCTTGTTCATTCCTAACCACCAAGAGATGTAATAAAAAAGAGCAAACTGCGATCTAACATGTCTTTCATCCTAAAGCAGGGAGAGCCTCAACAACCTTTGCAAAATAAAATTGTGTGGTTATTAAACCTCTCTTCCTTATCCTCCACCCAACTCTTGCCAATGCTCGCTCCACATCAGCCTCAGCATGGAGATATGCCCTTGTAGCCTTCGAAGGTCCAGGGAACAACTCTCCAATTCTCTTCAAGAGATCATAGTAAAATGTTTTTGGAGCAAAGCTCAGTATTAAGCGATTATCAGCTAATGAAGCAAGATGAGCGATTATTGCATCAGCCTTAACTTGTGGGTAATGTATCAAAACATCCAAACACACAACCGTGTCATATTTCCCACCTAAACTTTCTAAGTCCTTCACTTCAAACTTAGGCATAACTGATGTAGGACGCGTACCATCAAACCCCTTTAAAAGCTCTTCTTTTGCCTGAACTAAATTCAGCAAATTAGATTTCTGCTCATATTTCATCTATGAGTTTGAAACCAATGCTTTAATTACTCTAAAGAAAAACAAAACATAGAATCTTCTAGGTACTATGACTCTACCAGCCACATATCTCAATTTTTTTCTGAAATATCAGTGACTTTGTACATGTCACAGCCATTACTTGGCCTAACCAATTCATTCGGTTGTTTTCAGTAATAGTAAATGCACACATACTCATCTTTTCCCAATGCCAACTTAATGATCTTAGCTTATAATGTGCAGCTTTCTTAAAGCAGCTATTAAAGATATTACTCCTAATGGCAACCATAAAACTTATTTTCTAACAATTCAGTCATTTAGCCAGAAACAGACCATTAGAATTTTGAGAAAATGATTCCACTGATCAGCATAATGAAGAATATGAAAATGCAGTTTAGTTAAGAGCTCCAATCAGTAAAAATCTTACCTGTTTCTCAGCCTCAGCAACCATAGCAGCAGAGATATCACTGGCGGATACAATTGCGCCTTCTTTCGCCAACGGAATCGATAAACATCCGGTCCCACAACCTGCATCACAGACTGTAACTCCCTGTAGAGGGCCCTCATCAGTCAACATCTTCATCACATTCTCCACAGTTCTAGAATGCCCCAATCTAATGTCCAACTGAACTTTATTCACATCGTCGGTTTCTCCGTATATCTTCTTCCACCTCTGGAATCCATTGCTGTTGAAGTATTCCTTCACCACCTCCTTGTCGTCGCCGCCGACCGTCTCTGCCTGCATCCGCCGCCGCCCGTCGGGATCAGCTAGCAGGAACACCGCAGCCAACGCAGCTACCGAGCTTCCGCCAATAGCAGCGATTACGGTCCCGTTGAACGGCGGTGTCACGCCGGAGCCGCCGGTGGCAGAGGCAATGACGGTTCTCCGAGCAGGTTTGGTGATTTTTGAAGGGAATCGAAAGTTTGAGGTGACATTGAAGGTAGAGAACAGAGAAAGAGTAAGTCATACTTGAGCCGGCGTTTACTCCCTCCGGCGGGATTTGTTGTCCCCTTTCTAAGCGCCATGTCGAAATGTAATCCAGAGTGTTATAGAAGATCAGCGGGGAAAATTTACATTTAATCACTAATTTATAAGAGTTTGTTACTTGTGCGCATTAAGAGCACTAATTTAAGCATGAAAAAGTTTTGAGAGTACATTATAAAAATAGGGAATAAGGTTCAAATTGGCCACTGAACGTAACCTGAAAATGCAATTAGGCCACTGAACGAAAAAAAAGTACAATTAGACCACTAAACACTCCAAAAATATACAATTTCACCTGATAGCAGGTTACCCTCAATTTTAGCAGGTCATCTGCTTACGTGGCAGCTGAGTTGACATTTTTAATAAATTTTAATTAATTTTTAATAAATTTTAATAATAACTTTTTATTAAATTTTTTTTTTTAAATAAAAACGACTTTATTTTATTTTTTATTCAATTTTTTTCAATTTTTTATAAAATTTATTATTAAAATTAATTATTAAAAATTATTAAAAATTTATTAAAAATGCCAACTAAGCTGCCACGTAAGCAGGTAACCTGGTAAAATTGATGGTAACCTGCTATCTGGTAAAATTGCATACGTTTGGAGAGTTCAGTGGCCTAATTGCACATTTTTTGAGTGTTTAATGGCCTAATTGCACTTTTTTTTCGTTCAGTGGCCTAATTGCATTTTCAGGTTACGTCCAGTGGCCAATTTGAACCTTATTCCTAAAAATAGCTATCGGAAAGAGGTCGGGGCAATTTTTTTAATACGGGCCTAAAGGAGGTTGGCCAGCCCGCTCCGCCTTAGGTCCGCGGGTATTGGTAGGTGAGAGGGAATATACTCTGATTTTGACTTCCTTATACATTTGTGCTCTCGTTTAATAGTCGGGTCAAATTCAAACAGCTCAGGTCCAAGTCAAACAACTCAGTTCAAAAGTCAATGGGTCAGCATGTCAACTTTGGGCCTATATAAAGGGCACTTGACCCTTTGTTAAGGGTCTTTTTCCTCTTGGCTCTCACTCTAGACTAAAGACAACTTCTCTCTTATATTCTATCATCTCTCTAAGCATTAAATAAAAGAGAAGTTGAGAGCCCATTTTTTATATTATATCCCATCTTCATATTTTCATACAATTTTATACAAATTACTATACACTCGAAGTACATAGAGTGAATTTAGTTCTATCAGCAGGAGTCCGCTAAATTTGAAAAGTTTTATATTTAAAAAAAAATTAATATAAAATAGTTAATAAGTAAATTGGATAGTTTAAACATATATTAATGCATTTGTAATTTGTTTTTGTTTTTTTTTGGAAAACTACATCTATACTTTCTTAACATGTTGAAGCACAACGAGTCAACATCACCCCTACTAAGGTTTTATCTTATGACCTTCCATATGAGAGAGTCACTACATGCCATTTGATCATAAGGTGCTTGGCAATACATTTGTAATTTGTTAAACACAATAATAACTAATAAAATAAGAGTTAATTTCACCAGAGGTCATTTATCTTTGGTGGCAATTCTAAATTTAGTCTCAGACTATCATTTTTGTCATTTAACATCCCAGACTATTATTATTATTATTATTATTATTATTATTATTATTATTATTATTATTATTATTATTATTATTATTATTTTACATTTTAGTCTTTCTCGTGACTTTTCATATTTTTAGTAAGGGCATTTTTGTCTTTTCATTTTATTTTATTTTTTGTTATTTTTTTCGGTTTCAACAGGGTTAATTGGTTTATAACTTTAGGTAACCTCTGATTTTCAGTGACCATATTTTTCAATCAATATTTAGTAAAGCCCTAAACCAATTAAATCGGTTGAAATCGAAAAAATAACAAAAGAAAAATATGAAGAGACAAAAATGTCTTTACTAAAATAGGAAAGGTCATGAAAAGAACTAAAAATATCTAAAAATAATAGTCTGTGATGTTAAATGACAAAAACAATAGTCTGAGACTAAATTTGAAATTGCCACCAAACACAAGAGACCTCGAAATTAACTCAATAAAATAATAAGTCATAACAAATAATCAAATATATAATATGTTAATCCATAAGTCAATAACAAACCATTTATACAATTTACTAGTTACTAATACACTTTTTTTCTTCAATATAAATAAACATATATTTATATATAATTATATAAAATGATGTGTTTGAATGTTAGTAATATACTAATGTATACATATTAGACGGGTCCACCCAAAGCCAGTCTTTTGGTGGGACGCGATGGTTACCCATTTTGACGGCTCTAATTGTAAATATAGAAAAATAGTAGGATGTGTTTGGAAAGCATGAAAATCACTTATGGAAAATAAGTCGTTTTTCATAAAACATTTTACTTTCCAGTGTTTAGTTGCATTATATTATTAGTGTGTTTTGTTCATTTTCTGAAAGATGGGCATAATTCTTTTTAATTTTAAATATTTAAAATATACAATGGTGGTGGCGGTGGCGGCGACGGCGGGTGATTGGCTGCTCCACTGCTGCAAACGGAAATGACTCTCCCCCATCCCCTCTCCCGAAAATCTCATCAATTTTGCATTGACTTTCATTTCCCCCCTCCAAACACGAGAAACTTGGAAAATGATTTTCAGAAATCATTATCCTGATTTCTAAACGCACCATTGAAAATTATCTAAGATTTTTTTTTAATAAGATTAATTCTTTTCAATGTTTTAGAATATATTACATGAAATTATATATCTATAATAAATAGATAAATTCAAACTATCAATATCATACAATAAAGATGTAAAAATGATGGTTTTTTAAAGTCCCGATTTAGCTTAAGAGGAGGAGTGAATTGAACTTCAAAAATGTTGTGTCGATTTATCATAAGTGATTATTGGTGGTGATTATTTTTCAATAAAGTGGTATGTAACAAACCCACTAAATGAGTAAAGCTCGGTCCGATCTTCATCGACTTGCTATGTTCACCTTCCTGACCATCTCTCTTACCGAGCTTAGATGAAGGTAGCATATATAGGTGTTCCTGTAATCGATGTGTCCCGGACTGCCGACCTAATCATGTCAGGACTGACCTACCGACCTAATTCTTATGGCAGAATGCGGTGACGATGCACCCAATAAACTCAAGAATATCATGGCATGTGGTTAGGCCTCATTGGGCCCCGGTCTGAGGCTGTGCATTGGCTCCACGTGCCGTACATGTCGTAAGACCGGAACCTGTTCCCTCCCCCCCCCCCCCTATAAATATCGCATTTATTACTATGAGGGAGACTTTTGACTATTTTTACATACGCGCCAACTGTTGGCTCGGGATCCTTCGACCCATTGTCAAGTATTTCGAGTTTCTTAACTTAAACCAAAAAAACAGACTAGGTGAAGGGACCACAGCCGAAACCGACCCTAGCACCATATTATGTAGTGTATGCCCGTATTTACTACATCAATTATATTCCTTAATTATATTTTATGTAATTCTAGGTGATCAAGTAAATAACTAAATATACACAAGACTTGTTTAATAATTGGTGAATCCACCAAAATTTGGTCAAAACGTAAAATGGATCGAGCAGCAAATTTGTTCCAAATCGTCGAAATCTAAAATGATGCAATTATCAACATTTCATAATGGCGGTTTTGGGAAAAGCTTTTCCTTCTCCAAAACACCATTACTAGAAATTTATTTGTTAAAAAAAATTGTTGGTTAAAAAAATTTATTTACTAGAAAAGTTTTTCCTTCTCCAAACTGTTTGAGAAAGTATAAGTTCTAACCCCAATTTTTTAACTGCCAAAAGGCTATAATTGAATGTGATTGGAATATAAAGAGTAGAAGTACACCATTTTTTGAGTGGCTCATTGAGCCTACTCTACTATCTAAGAGCACCCCTTAAGATTTATAACTCGACTATCCAGGCCGCTATAAACCTATAGTTAAAAAAAAAAAAAGTGACATATTTACATTTTCATGTACATTCAACAATTTATTCTTTTATTTTTACTTATTTAACAAAAATGGGAATGATTTTTCAATAGAAATCTCACCCAAAGCATGGTTAAGTAACTATCCAAGGAAATTGAATTAATATCTAATTTAGTTTCCCATTATAGTAATTTTATCGATTTAATCGCTTAATTAGGTCATCAATTTTGATAATTTTACTTAATTGAATCATATATTAATATAGTTTGGTAATTTTACCCTTAAATACCTAATTTAGAATCAACTATAGTAATTTTACCCAAAGCATGGTTAAGTAACTATCCAAGGAAATTGAATTAATATCTAATTTAGTTTCCCATTATAGTAATTTTATCGATTTAATCGCTTAATTAGGTCATCAATTTTGATAATTTTACTTAATTGAATCATATATTAATATAGTTTGGTAATTTTACCCTTAAATACCTAATTTAGAATCAACTATAGTAATTTTACAAAGTTAGTATTCGACTAATGATTTTATCCAATTTAGTCATCGACTATAATAATTTTTATTGATTTAGTTATTAATTTTAACAGTTGAGGACTCAATTGAATAAAATTATCGAAGTAAATGGCCTAATTATGTATAAAAATTATTTAGAACTAAATTGAAAATAATTATACAGTGAAGGACTACATTGTGTATTTACTCCCCAAAGAAAATTATGAGACTCAGATTGTTTAGCCCGACCCGTAACCGTTGCTAAATCAAAATCGATTACAGATATAACGAAGAGGAGGAGGAAGAGAGTAGAGCAGCGGGGAACCGCCGGAAATTGAAGTCACCGCCTGAGATTCAAGCAACTTCGTAGATCTGTGTTCAATTCCTGTTTCAATGGCGAATGAAAACGGTGTTTCTGCAATGGAAATTGAAGAGCAGAATCCAAATCACGCTGATCAGATCAACAAACCCAAGTTCTCCATCAATGGTTCTCTCTCTTCTCCTCTTCCTCGTTGTATATGATATATGTTTGCGTATTTGCACCGGATAGCTATTGTA